CAGAGTGGGCGACACTCACAAAGCCAAAGAAAAATGTTCCCTGCCCATGTGAAAAAAGCAGAACCACTCTCTACTGTTTCTTGACCTATCCCTGCATCCATCAAGTCTATCCTAAGACCAATGTCTCTGAGAGGCCTACCTGTTACTCCATTGTGCAGAGGTAGTTTACTGGCTCCTATCTTTGAGGTTTTCCTGAGAGAAGAAAGCGGAATGCCAGGGCTTGGACAACACAGCAGGTCTGGGCTCTGAGGCACCAAGAATATACTGAGAGGGCCAGGTAGCTACACTGGACAGAAGCCTAACAATCCACCTTTGCCTGTCTCTACTCTTCTCTATGATTTCAACACACAAATTTGAAAAGAGAACACTTTATAAGTGTATTATAAACCTATATTTTAAGAGTTTCAGAATAGCAAAATATAGAAAGGCCCATAGGGACTAATAATACAGATCAAAGAATGAGATGCATGATGGTGAATGTGGCTTACCCAATTCACTTGACTGGTGAGGGTCAGGTCTATCTTTCCCTGACTCCAGTAAGCCAGAGACAGATGGCCCTTCTCTGACGCAAGATAATCAATTATTTATTTGTTTGCTGCAGGCTGTAGACTGAATGTTCCTTGAGAAATAGAATCATTCATTAAATTATTCAACAAACATCTATTGTACTTGGCAGGATCATGGAGGCAGGGAAATAAACAAGTAACAACTCAATAAGTGGCTTCCAGTGAATGGTAGATATAAAACATTTTGGCACATTGCTTGGCCCATAGTAAGTGCTCAATAAATGGTGGCTTCTACAGACGTATCCTTCTAGCAAGATATAAATAAGGAGGAAGAGGTAGACAAGGGCCAGATCTCACATGATATGCTGAGAAGCTGGAATTAGTCCTGCAAGCAATGGGGAGCTGATGCAGAGTTCAGAGCACAAGAATGACCTAATCAGACTTCAGGAAGGTCACTATAACAAAACTTTGCAGGATGAGAGTTAAAAAAAGATCAGTTCAGCAGCTCTCCAGAGAGTCAGGGGAAACTGTGATGCAAATGAAGCTGGGAATGGATGGTAAGCAAAGTTTCCAAAGGGTTCAATTCCATATGATGGATGGGAGAGGTGGAGATAGGAGGGAGGGGAGAGACAAGCTGAACCCAGGCCTGGGTTCTGGGAACACATATAGTAAACTTTACCAAGATACCATCCCGAGCTGCAATTATCTGAAAGAAGAAAATGAGGTTAATTTAAGGGAAGTTATTTCAGAATGCCTAAGGATATTCAAAGGGGAGAGATCCCAGAGATGTCTGTATTTTCAAGTCTATCATTCTGGATAAGGGTCTGAGAATGAGGAACTAAAATGGAGACATCAACCTATTGGTGAGAGCCAAAGCAGTCAGGATAAACAAAATGTAGCCACTCAACTAACATTTATTAACACTGCGATAAGATTAAAGCAGAAAACAAGAGAGAGAAGGTCTTCACTCTCAAAGAGATTACCTTCTGATGAGAGGAGGCCCCCCCACACACACACACAAATAAAAGAAAAATATTAGCTAGAGAGCAAAGGATAGATTAGAATATGATATGAAAAGTAACTAGATATGTAGTTCCTTTGTCTTTGTATAGGCAAGGGTGTGAGGAGCAAAAAAGAGGTCTGAAGACAACGTGCAGGGACCCACACTTGTGGGCCAAACACAGTGGCAGACCCAAGCCCAGAGAACTCAGTGAGTATCCAACCCCAAACATGTTATATGAACCAGGACATCTTGACTCCTGGTCTATACTCCCATTTGAAGATTACTACAGTTTATATGTGATTTGCCCCTCAAGTGCAGATGTATTTAGAACCCTGGTTTCCAGTATGGTAATGTGAGAGGTGGTAGGACCTTTACTAGGTAAGGCCTAATGGAAGGCGATTTGGTCTCTGGGGGCACTGCCCTAGGAAGCGATTAATGTAGCTCTCATCATGAGATGGGGCAAAGAACTGGTAGCTGATTATCAAAGAAAAGGAAATGGGTAAAAGGACTTAAAATCAGCATACTTACAGTGACCAGTGACGCAGCCACATCAATGTTTATAGCAGCTCAATTCACAATAGGTAAACCAATTTAGATGCCCTTCAACAGATGAATGGATCAAGAAAATGTGGTATATATACACAATGGAATATTACTCAGCCTTAATGAAGAATGAAATTATGGCATTTGCAGGTAAATGGATGGAGGTGGAGAATATCATGCTAAGTAAAATAAGCCAATCCCTCAAAACCAAAGGCCAAATGTTTTCTCTAATATATGATGCTAATTCACAATGGGGCCGGGGGGGGGGGGCTAGGGAAAAATGAGGTACTTTGGATTAGACAGAGGGGAGTGAAGGGAGGAGAGGGAGTATGGGGATAGGAAGGATACCCTATGTGCATGTATGACTACAGGACAGGTGTGATTCTACATCATGTACAACCAGAAGAATGAAAAGTTATACACCATTTATGTATGATGTGTCAAATGCATTCTACTGTCATGTATATATAACTAATTAGAACAAATTTTTAAAAGAAAAGGAAATGGGTAGACAGCCATAGTCTGGGGGGTGGGAGAGGATCACACTTACATAACACAAGCAATCACCCCCTGGATGGCTCTCTTCCTGCCTTTTGGTCATGTAAGCATGAGAAGTAAGGAAACCTAGGAACCTGAAATCTATAAAGGGACAAGATATCCCTACTCCCTTAGGTATCATCTCTGGGCTCCCTCCTCTCTCTGGAGGAGTGTGTGAGTGTGTGTGTGTGTGTGTGTGTGTGTGTGTGTTGTGTCTCTCTGTCTCTCTCTCTCTCTCTCTGTCTCTCTCTCTCTCTCTCTCTCTCTCTCTCTCTCTCTCTCTCTCTCTCGTATTTAATCTTTAACAACAGGGGAATGAGGGCCTGATCCTGAGATCCTGATTTTCAAGACCAGTATCAATTGGACCCTGGTTAGTTCTCATGAGAGGGTTATTATGAAAGAGAAAGACTAGTCCCTTCCCACTCTATTTTGCCATGCGATCTCTCCTACATGTGCTCCACCATGATGCTGTATCTGACATGAGATCCTCACCAGAGCTGAACTGATACTGGTACCATGCCTTTGAACCTCCCAAATTGTGAGCTACATAAATCTCTTTTCTTGATTACTTTAGATAGGATAGAGAAAAAAAAGCCCCTCTGGGGATGAATCCTAGGATTAACATGGAAAGGATGATGATGGGGACCTTCCCAGCAGAGGGAAGTGCACATGCACAGGCATGAATGCAGGAAAAGAGCTGAATGTGCTTGAGAAACTGAAAAGCAACCAGGGAGGCCAAAGAACAGGGCTGGAGAAAAAGAAGTGTCGATGCTGGAACTATAAACAGAATCCTATTGGCCGCAGTCAAATATTTGGATCTTATTGTAAGGACAATGGCAAGCCACTGGAGGATTTCTTCAGGCCAGGCATAACCTAAGGTGATTTTAGTCTTAAGGAATTTCTCGGATGGGGAGCTTTTTCTTTCTGAGCATGCAGTGCCTTCAGGCCACCCCTCCAATAGCAGTGTGGTAGTCCTTTATCCCACCCACAATTAAGGTCAGGCCTCCATCTGCAGAGCAATCTCTCCTGGTTGGAGATCCTGCTTGGCCTAAATGCTTCCCAAAAAGCCCCCATAAACTCACTAAAACGTTTCCAATAGACTTTGCAAGAGTACTGGGAGAATGGATGCTTTTGTAAAAGGACACAAAATAATAAAACAAAACCGCTCCCTCATTTCTGATGGAAATTTCTTGTTTTCTCCTCCACTGCTTTCCATTAGTCCATGGCCTGAGTAATTAATTATCTTTGCTCTTTACTCTGCCTCCATTTATTTTCCAAAACACCATGAATATGTGTATGTGACTATGAACAATAACAAAGGACTATAAATTCTTATTGATCCCAGAAGGTTGGGAATTCTAAACAATAAAAATATGTCCTCTGACTGCTTCTCTCCAAAGAACATTTTAGAGACACAAAAGAGCTTTGTTAAAACAACAAATGAGCTCTTGGGGCACTGTGGGCCTCCTGGTGGCTCCAGGCCACCAGGTAGTGATGCAACAGGCAACTGTAGACACAAAGTTGGAAAGACCTCCCTGCTACCCTTGCCTGGGCTCGCTTCCTCATTTCTCAGTGCACATCTTGACTGCATCAAGCCCAGTTTACTATATAGCTTTCAGCCACTATTGTTTTCAGAAGCCAGAATTCTCAGCCTAAAGAGAATGTCCCCTTTGTCCTCCATCCATGATTTAATTTACATTCTCCTGAAGGCTCTGTTCACTTTGTTTTCAAGCTAAGAAGTCTCACAATGGTACTTAGACCCTGAATTTGAATTTCTCTGTGTTTCTGCTGTTTGGAAGTTTGCCTAGGTCAGTCACTGAACAGTCACGGGATTCAGCTTTACCTTAGAGAAAACCTTTATTGTTCATGATTTTTTTATGAAACGTCCAACTATGGTCAGATTTTCCCCTTCAATTCCTATGTTTTTGTCTTTTAGAATCTATATATGAGAATACATATACACAGATACACAACATCACCTTTTCTCTTGCTAATCAGTAAAGTTTTCATTATCTTTTCCAACTTTATTGCATTCCTAGGGATATAGCCCTTCTCTGTCTCCCAGATTTGAAGGGAACTCTTAGCTGAACTTTTTTCTACCTTTATCATTCAGATGCACTATTCCCAGCATTCCTTGGATCTTTCAACACCATGATTTATAAGACAATGTGAGCATCTGACTTCCTAGGCTTTCTTCAGTCTCTGTTCCTACCTAAAAACTTATAATGTAAAGCTTACTAGAATATTAATAGCCCAAATTTGACCACAAAGTAATACAAATGCAAAATGCCAATTTCTAATAAAAAGCCTATAGTCAACTGACTAGGAGACACGAAGAAAGCAACTGTTCTTTGTGCTCTTCAGACAATCTTGAGCTGGAAACAGATTGTTGCTAGCAGAATATTGCTTACCTGAATGTATTATAATCCAAAACCTTTGTGTGTCTAGGGTCAGCAGCTGCAAATACCTGCTTGATATCTTTTGATTTCGATTCTAAGTCTTTCAGCTTTTGTAGGGCAAATTCGATGCTGCTAAACGGAAACTAGAAGAGAGAAATGAAAGGAAAGACATATTTAAATATACCTGAAACTTCAGGAGCCCAATATTTATGATGGCCAGCAAAGAGACTGTACATGGTAAACCCAAAGTTAGCTAGAAATGCCTTTGTATAGAGACCAACACAGAGAAGAGATGACTAGCTTTGTTATCTCTTGAGCTATGCCTTTAAGACAACAAGTGTCATTAGCCTAGGCCCCAAATCTGAGAGAAATGAACTTAAGAGACAGCAGGCTACAGAGATAAGAAAACAATCTGCTTCCACCTCAGCCTCCTCCCTATAACCTTGGACATGGGCCCAATATTTTGGCAAACCCTAAAGCAGAGAATGGGGATTCAAAATTGGATAAGTAGACCCTCATTTTCTCCATTTATTAGAATGCCCCCCTACAACCCCAGAAACTTCTGGCTACCCAGGCAATGCACTGATCAGAGCACAGCTAGTTGTCAAAGATCCATACAGGCAGTGTAATACTCATGCAGAAAGTCTACCATTCCTGTCTCCTACCCTGTGATTAGCCTTTTGACTTAGGAAGAATATTTCTTATTCAATTCAGTAAAGCACAAGGTTATAAATAATTACAGCTAAAAGATCAAAAATGAGAAGATGAAATTTTAGAATAAAAACATTGGTGGTAATTTAGAATAAAGCTCCCTCTCTTCCACCACAAAATGATCCAGGTGGTTTGGCACCTACTGCAGGCCCCCACTCCCTCTCCTTTTTTGCATTTCCTTTCATGTATTTCCATGATAGGATCTATTAGCTCTTTTGAAAAGACTCCTCGGACTGGTATTAAAGAGTATATTAATCTTCCTCTGCCTAGTATGCCCTTGTTAAGAGTAGTTTTAAAATAATGTAATTTTCACTTGAGATGCTGATACTAGATAATGTCCTATCATGCTTTTATCATTCTGAAAGAAGAAAAGCTCTTTATTCCTTAAAACTATATATGTTTTGACTGAGAGTGCAACTCAGTGGTAGAATGCTTGCCTAGCATGCCTGAAACCCCAGGTTCAATCTCTAGCATGAGGAAAAAAGGAAAAAGGGGAAAAAAAACTATACCTACCTTTTTACATACAGGTAATCCTTGACTTTCAATGGGATTATGCTCCAATAAACCCAATGTAATTTGGAAACATCATAAGTCAAAAATACACTGAATAAGCCAGGCACACACCTGTAATCCCAGTGGCTCAGGAGGCTGAGGCAGGAGGATTGCAAGTTCAAAGCCAGCCTCAGCAGTGGCAAGGCACTAAGCAATTTAGTGAAACTCTAACTCTAAATAAGATACAAAATAGGGGTGGGAATGTGGCTCAGTGCTTGAGTGCCCCTGAGTTCAATCCCTGGTACCCTAAAATAAAAATGTGCACTGAATATACCTAGCCCAGCAAATATCCTGGCTTAGTAACACAGCACACTGTAGAGTATGGATTGTTTCCCCTAGTGATCAGAGTTGACTGGGAACTGTGGCTTATGGCTACTGCCCAGCATTGCCAAGAGAGGATAGGACTGCACAGTATTAGCTCAGGGAAAGAGAAAAACTCAAAATTTGAAGTACAGTCTCTACTGAATGTATATTGCTTTTATGCCATGATAAAGTCAAAAAACCCTAAGTTGAACAATCATAAATTGGGAACTGTCTGTATATTTTATATTAAGGCATAGGTTCACCCTCTATTTTGAAATAGAATGCTAATTTATAATAGTTACAACAACTGAACTTTCTATAGGCCACATAAAGTTAAGCACGTCACACATTATCATCACATCTAATCTTTCTAGCAAATTTATGAAACAGGCATTCTTGTTACTCTTATGTCAAAGATGAGGAAAATGAAGGTCAGGGAAGACACATGGCTTAGGTCTCTCAGCTACAAAGTATGGGGTCTGATTTCCAATCCAGGCCTGCTGGTCTCCAGAAATTTAACTCCCCAATTATAGAGTTTCTTACCTGAGTTCAGTATTTTATATAGCTGATGGTTCATGCTTTTATGATAACCCAAATCTCTAATATCACAAATGGAGAGATGAAGTGGCAGCCAAGGCTGCTCAGGCCTCCTATCAAGAGAGACCCTGTGGAGAAGAGCATCACAAGCCAACAGCCTCCAGCTGCCACAACTTCTAGATCTACACACGGTCCAAATGCAGTATCCCTAATGATGCCATAGTCTCCCTTGGCTGTCTCACTCAGTAATAGAACACAGCAGGGGGAGCAGAGCTGGGCACTCCTGCCTGACTCTGGGTGTCTCAAATGGGCAGTCTTTGCTCTGGGCTCTCCCTCTGCCTGGCTGAGACTTTTTCAAAGCTGCATGGCCCAGATGAGGTTCTTCCCATCCACCCTTCCTTCCTAGCCTCAACAGGAATTAGACCTGAATTCTGGTCTGAAGACTCCATCCACCCACTGTCTCCTTCTGCTCCCTCACTTTGTCCTTCAGAGGTCTTTCCCCCAATACACCTCTTGCATTTATAACTCTGTCTTCTGCTTCTCAGAAGTCCCAAATCGATATGGAAGATGGGATACACATGTATTATATGGAGAGACTGGTGCTAACAACTTAACCTTGAGCATTTTATATGTAAATAAGACATAACTGGTACTGTAGTATATAAATGGCACATACATATTGTTATGTAACAGGTGAACTTTTAAAATAAAAAATTTCCAGACAGATTTTTTCAATATTAGGCAATGATTCCCAAATACACGTTTGCACACTGAATGAGTCCACATTCAAAATTAAGATTTTTCCCAAATGTTATTTTTACTGAACAGAACTGCCATAATAGCACTTTTAAGAATGGTAACCATCTTCCACCTTAATTCAAATAAAAAAAAAAAAAACTTTTTGAGCTCACTAGGGCCAATTCCTCCTTAAATTCTTTTTTAGGCCTCAGGTGGCCACAGTTATAGGAAGTTGCAACCCCAGAAGCTATTGAGTTCCCTTGGGGTTTCTGTTTGTTCCGGTCTTGGCCTTCTCTGTTGGCCTGTGCCAATTAACTGGGATGGCACAGTGTGTGGCACCGGACTGACTTCCTTTCCTATACTTGCTGAATTTCTTTCTGAAAACATTGTTAGTGTCAGCAGAAAATGCAGGAAACTTGATTCAACCCTGGGCCAGCCTCCTGCCTCTTCCTGGAATCCGTGATGCTGGGCAGTGGAGAGCCAAGCGTGTAAACAGAGGAGACAAGGACCTGGCCTCTGTGATGGGACCTGTGGCCAAGCTGCACGGATCCATTATTCATGCCCACATGTGTGAATGCACAATGTAAAACAGTGGCAAGATGAAGAAGAAAAGCCCCTAGAGAAAGAAAAACACACATTGCAGAGGGCTGAGAGGCAAGTGAAGAATTATACAAAGTAAATTCACCCTGTTTGTATTATTCTCCATGTAGTTTAAGGTGTACTCATCAGCATTGAGCAAAAGAAATAGGTAGCCATTCACATTCAGTTTGGCTCCAACATACAGCTCCTCAGACTTGATATATTCTGATAGTTCACTTTTAAAGATTTCTTGTCCAGGCCTCTTAACACGAATTCTTTTCAAAAACATCCCACCAGTGAGCCCTAGAGAAAGAGAGAAAAGTTCATGGGTAGTCTTTATTCTTAAAAGAACCATGTGGCTTGCCTTTAGAGTTGCTTCATCCTCAAACACAGACTATACAACTTACCTGTGAACTCATATTGTCTATTATTCTCAGACTAAAGGGAGGAATGAGGCAGTGGACAAAGAAATAAGACTTCCTAGGTGAATGTGTTAAAAAAAAACATGGTATAGTATTCTAGCCTTTTTCTTCTTTCTCCCTTCCTAATCAAATAAACACATAGCAAAGACCTGCTACATAAATATTCCTGCAGCATACTGGGAGTGTGTAACATCAGGAGGTTACTCATCTTTGGAGCACATTTGAATAGTACCATTTAGAAAATGTCTCACTTGTGCTTATTTCTACTTATTTGTCTTGCACTTATTCTGACGTGCAGATTAAGGGTAAATTGTCCCACCTCTGTGAAGGAGATTTCTTAAGTATTTGAAGACAACTGTGGGGGTCCCTTTAACTTTTTTTACATATTTTTTAAAATTTAATTTAATTTATTTTGAAGTGCTAGGGATGGAATCTAGGGCCTCAAGTGTGCTGGGCAAACACTCTACCACAATATCCCTAACCCCCTAACTTTATTTTTAACAGGTAAAGTATCTTTGCTTCTTTGAGTTTTTCATCATGTATTTTACTTCCCAGAATTCTCAACAACTCATCTGTTCTCTTCCAGGCATTGGTTTTTGACCTCTTGGAAAGTAGCAAGCAGAGTTTGCTTGAATCAGAACTGAAACTCTGAATCAGAACTGAAATCTACAGACCTGTGAATACAGTCTGAGACCAGATGAGATTTTGTGGTCACTACTACATCACTATCAGATCCTCCTACCACATTCTGATAACACAAGTGGTGGAAAGACACAGGCCTTGAAGCCAAGTAAAGCAACATCACATCCTGGTTCTGTCACTTGCCTGCTAGATGATCTTTAAGAGTTATTTAACCTCTCTGAACTTCTGTAAATTCTCATTGGTAATATGGAAACAAAATTTGTGGGGGCCCAGGAAAATGTACCTCTCAAATTACCTATTGTAGGGAACATGACTGGTAGAAGACCCCAGCTGTCATGTTCTGAAATCCATCCTCGAGTATATGCCGAGGTCATACTTCCCACAGGCTTCTGCCAACAAATGACTACACAAGGCAGAGATGCTAAGATTGGCCCATTCCTATAAAGACAAGGGCTCTTCCAACTAGCAGCTTTGGCTCAGCCTTGCAGAAATCTTCTTAGAATTCCACTACAGTCTAAGACCTCCCTTCTTCTTTCTCTCTGTCCTTTACCAGAGTCAGAACTGTACTGCAGTCTGATGGCTCTCCCAGTCTCCTCTGGCTCTCTCCACATTTTTCCTCACCAGCATTTCCCCTGAAGGAATATCTTGGAGATAATCCTGTCTCAGTATTTGTTTCTTGGAGAACTACTACTAAACTTAACCTCTTAGAGTTCTTAGAAAGGACAACAGCAGGTACTGAGTAATGGCCACTACTATTATAAGCTTTTCATTGACTACTATCACCCTTTCTGTTTTACACATGCTACAATTTACTTGGCCACATCTTCCCCACTCTAGATGCATACATGTGATTTTTTGACTATTCAGAGTATGACTTATATTCATCCCTATTCAATTTCATATCGTAAGATTTTCTACTATTCAAATCACTGTGGAGTCTTGATTTAGTTATACAAATTATTCATTACTCATTGGTGCGCTAAGGGCTCATACCAGCTCACAAGAGCCAATTGTTGAATTTTCAAAGATTTTGCAAACCAGTTTTTTAAAAACTGTTGGCTTCTTAAAACTGGCTGTGATTGGGGTATTCACATCAAGGAAAGTGACAAACAGTACAAATCAGGACTTTCAATTTTTTTTTCAAAGAGCCAGTTAACCAGCACATCACTGATTATTCTTTCCAAATGTGTGTTTTCAGCACAGATAAACGATGTAAATATGTTGAGACAAAAAACAGAGTCCTGGGCTGGGGCTGGGGCTCAGTGGCAGAGTGTTTGTTTCACACATGTGAGGCACTGGGTTCAATCCTCAGCACCATATAAATAATATGTGTGTGTGTGTGTATGTATATATAAGTGTGTGTGTGTATATATATATATATATATATATATATATATAGAGAGAGAGAGAGAGAGAGAGAGAGAGAGAGTGAGAGTGTCTTACAGTTCCATAGTTTGATAAATCAACAGCTCTCCTCAGCAATGGCCATATAATCAGCACAGTGTGGAGAACATTCCATTAGGCCCGAGTGCAATAGCATTAACAGACAGAAGGGCCAGAGAAAGATGGATCCTGAAGATTAAATTTATATATCTGGAATTCTTGTCAGAGCATCAACAAAAATCTGTTAGGCAGAACTATCAAGAGTATATACTTTCTCTTGGCTTGCTGGCTGAGAGTGGCACTGGTGGCAGCCAGACCTTGATTTTGAAATACTTGGGTTCCATAGAACTACCTCATGAAAAAGAGGGAATAGTGGCAAAAGGGATTTATCCCAGGCCCCCCATCTCTGAGACAACCATAACTGTTCCTTGTTTATCATTTTGTATATTTTAGCTCCCATTTAAAACATTTTTGCCAAAAGAAACCTATTGATTTTTTAAAAACCTACTACCAGGGATCATATAGGCTACAGACTCGAATCATATTCCCTAATCTTCAAAATGAAGAGGCAATTAAATGTTCTCAGGAAAATACTCTGAGAGTGTGTCTCTTACCTGAATTCCTCTCTATAGGTTCAAACACTGAAAGTGTATCATCGCTGAGAAAATATGAAATAACAAACATCCTGTCCACATCAGCACATTTGTCTGTGATTAGTTTTGCAAAAAACCGGAGTATATTGCTTACATTGCCATACCTAAACAGAAGAGAAATAAGAGAGCATTATACAAGTAATCTTGTACATATCATGTTGGTTGGGGGGTGGGCAGCAAGAGGCATGCTATGGTTTTAAAAATAGGAGGTTAAACTGTGCAAAGAGTCCAACCATCTTCTTATTAAGGTTCTCAATCTAAATACAGAGAGATTGCCTCAGTATATTAAAACACATCTTATTCATTACATGTCCTGGGTAAATGGATCCAACACACATGTCGTAAACATGCTGCTCAAACAATCACATTCATCAGTTGTTCTGTAATGACAAGCTTGGCACCAATCACAGTAATCATGTCAAATAGAAGGGCAAGCACCTGGCTCCATTGCCTGAGCTAGTCCAGAAGGTGTGCTCTGTCCATGCCTGGGACAACCTCCATTTTTTTACTACTCACTATCTGGCACCCATGGCCCTTCCGCCTTGTACTCTATATCCCCAACCCTCCCTGACTTCTCCCCCTATCTCCCCAGCATCACTCCTGATTCTATTGGGAGCAAAATTAACTTTTCCCTTTCAAATGCTATAACAAATAGCAGTCATGCCTCTTCCTTTTTTAAAAAATATTTTTTAGTTATAGATGGACACAACACCTTCATTTTATTTATTTATTTTTAGGTGGTGCTGAGGATTGAACCCAGGGCCTCATATGTGCAAGGCAAGCATTTTACCACAGAGCCACAAACCCAGCCCAGCCTCTTCTTTTTTTATAGCTTATCACCTGTATTGCAAGTAACCATTGCAGGTCTATTTTCCAAGGGAAAGCAATGTGTCTTATTAACGACTACCTAATATAGCACTTTTTACATTGTAAGTACTATACTCAATAAATGGTTAAAGAAAGTTATACCCATACAGACTAGGGGTTGAACTTAAAACTCTGTGCATGAATAAAATAGTAGGCTGAACATGGGATTAAACTGTAGAATTAAAAGTTCTCAGAGGTGATTTGTTGGTCACTGAAGAAGTTAATTTATGGTTTCTAAGCAGAAGCATGTCTGTGTACCTTTGCTAGTGAAAGGTGGACCTCGTAACAAACAGTAAGCCTTGGGGAGGTCTTTGAAAATCAAAATCACTGCCTGAAGGAGCACAAAGTCAAATCAGGCCTTTGTCGTTTCCCTGTCATGACTCTAATCAGAGAGGTCCTTACTTGAAGAGTCTCCTATGCCAAAATGCACTCTTTGTAACCACAGTGATAAAAAGCATAGTAATATTGGTTCATAGAGGCAGAAAGTTCTTTTCTCTGTGCCTTTCTAAAATTATCCAAGAACCTGGGCTGAGAAAGCATGGAGCCAAGATTCTCTGCTTGAGGCCTCAAGTGAGACAGAGTGCAGCCATTTGTAAAGCTAGTTCCAAGGCAGCCTGGGCAAAACATCCCAGAGGCCATTGATATTTTCTTAGTGCCTAGTTCTCAGGCCTCAGGAGGACCTCACATAGTGCTGGGGCCAGTTATGCTTTGTCAACTATCTTCTCTGGCACATAATTGAACTTATAATTAACAAATACATTTACCAGCCCACTCTCATGAAAAACCCATAACTTTTCAGATACCTGAAATATTCAAATGAGGTCTAGTCACTGGGCAAATTAATACTACTGTTCTTCACAGAACTTACATAAATTTACAAGTGTATATGTTAAGTGTGAACTTTTCAACATGCCCAATTTTCACTTAAATCTAGTGTTCTGGCGATCTCATCAATCAAGAATACAATCTCAATAAAATCTTAAGACTAGCGGTTCACAAAGTTTATTGTGTATAAAAGTCACCTGGGAAGCTTGTTAAGTATGTAGAATCCAGAGTCCCATCCCTAGAGATATGGACTCAGTATCCAGCTGACTCTGGAAACCTGAATTATTAGTAAGCACCCCAGGAGATTCTGATGAGGTGGTCCCCAGAGTACACTGTAAGAACCACTGCGAGAGTCTTCATATATTTCCTTGACAAAGAAGCTAATTATCAAACTTCTCTGAACATTCTTTATCACAATATTCTGCCCTTTCAGCTAATCTTCTATTCAGACCCAATTTTGTGTTATATAGACTTGTACTTTTAGTTGGTTGTTTTCAAATTGTGTTTATTCCCATTGTTCCAAATATATAAATTCCTAGATCCAAGAGTCATGTCTTAACTTTTACTATATAACACAATTTTCTATAATCACCACCTTGAATTTGTCTCCCATTTTATTTTAAATACACTTTCATTAGGGCTGCTCTACCTAAACTGTCCTTATAGAGGCTAACGATGACCTCCATAATGCCAATTCCAATGCTTAATTTTTCCTTTGTCCACATCTAACTTGACCAATCAGCAGCAATTGGCACAAATGACCACTCCTTCTTCCATGATACTCTTGCTTTGCTTGACTTCTGGAATTTTGCATTCTCTTGGGTTTGCTCTCTCCTACCTCTTTGTTCCTTTTCTGACTCCTTTGCTGGTTATTCTTCTTTTTCCCAATTACTTAATTTGGGGTATCCCAAGTTTTATTCATGCACTTGTCTCTATGTATCTATTTTCTCCCTTGATGATCTCATCCAGTCTGAAGACTCTAGTACAACTTGGCATCATGACTTAAAATACTATGTACACACGGATGCCTTCCAAATTTCTATCTAGCTCAGACCTCTTTCTTGTACCCCATCCTCATACATCCAACTGCTTTTCAATATTTCCACTTGATAGCTAACAAACATCTCAAACTTGTTCTAAAACTGAACTTCTGCTCTTGCCCTCAAACTTACTCATCTACAGTCTTTCCTATCTCAGTGGCTGGCAACTCCACCCTTCCAGTTGCTCAGGACCAAACCCTGAGAGACAACATTAGCTCCTCACTCCTGTTATACCTCATATCTCATCTGTCAGGAAATCCTACTGGCTCTACCCTCAAAATATTTCCAGAATCCACTATTTAATTTCATCACTTCCACTGCATTCACCCAGATCTGAGCCACCATAATTTTCCTCTTAGACTACAGCAGTAGCCTCATAACTGGTCTCAATTCTACCATTGTCTTCTACAGTCTACTCTCAACACTGTGTTGGAGGGATTCTTTCAATATGCAAGTCAGAACAAGTCACTTCTCTGCTTAAATGTCCCAGGGATTCCCTCCTTCTCATTCAAAGTCAAAATATTCCTTATAAGGCCCTCTGTGATCCCATCCCATTACTTCTCTTACCTTATTTCGGTGTATTCTGCCTTTTACTCATCTACTCTATCCAGTTGACCTTCTGGATGGTTCTTGAACATCCCAAGCATGCTTTTTGCTCAGGACCTTTACACTGACTGTTCCTTTTGCCTGGAACACATTTTCTTCCCTCGGGTGCATCAGAACACACTATTTAAAACTACAACCTGGGGTGTTCATCAACCCCATACTCCCAAATTCCCTTTATTTTCTTCACAGCAACTTAATACTTTCTTTACTTTTCCATGGTATTGAATACATTATATATACTAAATAATGCCTTTATGTATTATTTACTATCTTTATCTTTTACGTACCTCTTGCAGCTAGAATGAAAGTTCTAGGCAGGCAGGGCTTTCTGTCTGTTTTTGTTGTCTTTTTAAAAATAATTTTTATGTTATTTAATTTTTTATACCTTTATCTTATTTATTTTTATGTGGTGCTGAGGATCAAACCCAGTACCTCACACATGTTAGTAGGCAGTGCTCTACTGCTGAGCCACAACCCTAGACCTTTGTGTCTTTTTGTTCATAGAAGTATCACAACTATGGCAAATACCTAGATTGGTCTTTGGCATGTAGCAGGTGACAGGAAATATTTGTTGATCAAGAAAATGAATGGATAATCCCGAGCTACACATCTACTAAAAGCCTCAAAAGTAGCTAGAGCTATAGAGTCTTGTGGTTGGGAAACACATGAAGGCTTATTTTTATTGATGGGGAAAAAAATTTAAAGAGGGGGAAAATGGCTGATGGGTATAGCAGATGGACAATATCTGGAACAAATGAGAAACTAATATTAAATCATGAGGGTTGGGGTTGTAGGTCAATGGTGGTATGCTTGCCTCACACGAATGAGGCACTGGGAGTGATCCTCAGTACCATATAAAAATAAATAAATAAAATAAAGGTATTTTGTCCATCTATACCTTAAAATATTTTTAAAAAGATTAAATCATGAATTCTGGATGCTATATAGTTATGAATAGCATAAGTATGGGATATTAACCTTCCTGGTAGGAAGCTATCTGTCCCTTCCTTCCATCTTTAAGAAATGGATTAGTGGATATTTACTCTCTTATTCTGTCCACTTATTCATCCTCTCCTCTTTTTGTGGTGAGGGGGTAACTGAGGATTGAACCCAGAGGCATTCTACCACTGAGTTATACTCCAAGTCCTTTTTATTTTTTAATTTTGAGTCAGGGTCTCACTAAGTTACTTAGAGCTTCCCTAAGTTTCTGAGGCTGACCTCAAACTTAGGATCCTCCTGCCTCAGCCTCCTAAGCCACTGGGATTCCAGGCATGTGCCACCACACCTGGCTCCATTACTCTTCGTATTGAATAAAATATTGACCTGCCCCTAAGTATGCAGTCAGCATTGTTCTAACTCTTAGGGAAACAATGAAGCCAGTCCCTGACCTCAAGGAACAATTCTTGATTTGGGAGAGCCCATAAATTGCATAAATGAGTAGTCTTCACACCTGTAATAAGTACAGCTTTTGCAATAAGAAAGGTGTACTCCAGAAAAGAGATTCAAATCCAAGCTCAACTAAAAATTAACTGTTTGAGTTTGGGCAAGTTGCAGAGCCTCTCTGAGCCTCAGTTCCCTCAAGTGAAGAATGAGTGCAGTAATTATCTACTTTCCAAGGCTGTTTTGAGGATAAAATGATACTAAGTATTATAAAGTATTTAGTAGACAGTAACCACTAATTGCTTAATGGTATAACAGAGTAGTAGTAATATTATTAGAGAAATAATCAGCAGAATACTGTGGGCACACAGAGAACAAAGTTACTAAATCAGCCTGGTACAGTGACAAAGAAATTATTCTGGTTCTCCCAAGTCAGACTAGACAATGTGCCCAGCAGGTCATCGCAGTGATGTTTACCTGGACAATAAAGATGATCTCCATGTCTATCAAAAACCTCATAGGCTTTAATTTGAAATGATATCCTCCAATGACTCATAGTAGACAGCATTAACCTCATAACAATAGCACCCAGTAAATTTGTTTGATAGCAATATATAAAATCAATATATGTTATGAATAATTTCATGTTCTAATTCACATTTTCTTTATTTGCATTAAGAAACTATCTTTATATGGTTTGTGAGATCATCTTCCTTAGGTTCTCACAGTTTTGAAACCTTGGGTCATTCAAACTCATGCATAAGTCTCCAGCCGAATGTGCCAGTTACTATGGAAACAAGGTCACTGTGTGGGAGGAGTTTGATAGAAGTGTATTCCTAGCACAGAACAAGCAGTGGACAGAAAGAAATGAAATTAGGGATATCTGTGCCTATACCACAATTCTCTAGCCACAATAAAGTGACACAAACAGAATGCTGTCTGCAGTCAGGGTTCTGTAGGCAACTTTACCCAGTGCAGACAAAAAGAGAGACTAAGTCAACTACCCACAAAGAACTGCTCTACCCCTGGGTTCCAGAAGCAACACCCTAGATAATATTTCATCATGTTTACTTATAATAAAACTTCTGTCTCTTTTTACAATAGGGACATTTTTCCTGCGCACCTCCTTTGGGTGGCAACCCTTAAAAACATCAGTTAGCGGGAAATGTCCATCAAATAGTCCTATCCTGGAACCTCATTGTAAACACTGTTATCAATAAGAGAGGAAGGAGAATAAGTTAGTGTCTCTCTTACGTGATGATCAGTGGTTCTCAAACACTGATGTGCCTCAGAATCCCCTGGATGGCTTGTGAAAACAGAGTGCTGGGCCCCACCTCCAGAGTTTTCCATCTCAACTGGTCTGGAGGGAGAGGCACAGAATTAGCATCTCTAACAAGTATAGGGACCACACTTTGAGTAGCACTGAGTTTAGAAAATAAAAACCTGGGTTGGGGCTGTGGCTCAGTGGTACAGCACTCGCCTGGCATGTGTGAGGCACTGGGTTCAATCCTCAACACCATATACAAATAAAATAAAGGTATTGTGTCCACCTACAACTAAAATAAATAAATAAATATAAATAAATAAATAAATAAAGCCCTAACTCCTTAAAAATAAATGATTATTTCTTGAAAGACAAAACATCACATCATGGCAAGGGCATACTTTCCACCATTCTGTACAAGTCTCAAAAAGATTTCAACCATTTTTACAGATATAGCACAACTATTGTTCTCTCTCCTTCAAATGTTCAATAACAGCATCTGACCTCATTCAATTTGACCAAATTCAGGGTGTTGTCTTATTTCCTTCTCCTAGTCTTACTGCACATTCCCTTTATCATTGTTCTCCCCAGGATCTCCTGACCCATTATTTCCCTCATGCAGAACTCCAGCTTTTAGCCAGCATCCTATTGAAGTAGCTGCGGTATTTCCCCACCACTTTCCCCCTGGTTTTCTTCTCCACAGTCTGCTCTCCCTGCAGAAGAAAAAAAGTAGCCCTAGGCAGTGCCTAGATTCTACATGCATGACTCAGGAGCAGATTTTACCTCATAGAATATTAGGGATACTTTGAACATCCATCTTTTGAAATTATATGCAGCCATGTGAGCGATCTGTTGTTACTGAACTTACCCAAACCTCTCAAATCAAAACAACAACATTAATTATTTTTCAAAATAACATTTTGAAAAACACTTATATATCATTGAAATCTCTATAACAAGGGCTGGCAAACTACAGTCCATGGGCCAGATCCAGCTAGCCACCTGTGTTGATATGGTCTTTGAGCTAAGAGTAGTTTTTACATTTTTAAATGGTTGAAAAAATAAAAAGAAGAATATTTTGTGATATCTAAAAATTACATGAAATTCAAATGTCAATGTTCATAAAAACAGTTTTTTTGGAGCACAGTCACACATGTGTTTACATTCTGTCTATGGCTGCTTTCATGGCACATCTGGATGGTTGTGACAGGCCATATGGCCTACAAAGCCCAAAATATTTACACTGACTCTTTTTAAGTTTGCTGACCCCTTCCTCTACATCCTTTCCTAGGGATTATCTTCAGGAGAGAGACAGACAGGCAGATAGATAAAAAAAGGCACCACAGATTGGGGATGATATGACTTTAGGATTCCCCAGAAGATACTGTAAAATAAACATTCATGTAGGAACCTGGCAATACCTATAAGTTAATCAATTTCACTAAAAGACTACAACAACATGTCCTTGAACTTGAAATTAGATGAGCTTTTTTTTTCCTTTTTAAAATTTTTTTTTATTTGTAGATAGACACAATACTTTTATTTATTTTTATGTGATGCTGAGGATCAAACCCAGTGCCTCATGCATGCAAGTCATGTGCTTTACCACTAAGCTACAACCCCAGCGCTTAGATGAGCTTTGTGTCACCTCTTTTTATCATGAGGACTGTCATAAATCCCAAACAGATTTGGAAAAGATAGGACTCAAATCATGGTTCCCTCAAGCACCTGTCTTCTTCCATGCATTTCTTGAAGTTTCTCTGGTGAGGTGTGGGCACAAGGCCTATGCAGGAACGGAGAGAATCCTCTTCAGATCCAAAGCCCATGTAAGGTGGAAATTTCCTTTCTATTTTTGGAAGAGGAGGAGCCTTGCACGAAATGGAGGTAAAGTTCTCTATAACAAAACAAAGGAAAACAAAACATCAAATATTTTCTTTTGCCCTGATTATGGCTGTTTTGAAAGGTTTGTTATGATTTCAAGATGAACATGGAGATCTTTGTAGACTATTTTAAACTCTTTCAAACAAAACACGGCAAAATCCTGTGAGAGTAGGTTCCAATCATGTTTACAAAAACCACAGAAGTCACTTAATAATTGCCATTGGTTCAAAAGAAAACATAAGAATCTGTGTCAAATAAGTAAACATTTATCTTTTGTCATCACATCCCCATTTGTGAATATTTTTGTTCTTCCCCTGATTTTTCCAATGATCTGAAAATTCAAACTTGAAACTTTAGGCCCCATTCCATATTTTAACCTGTAATTTAGCCCTCTCCTATCTTCAAACAACACTCACTAATAAAATTATTTTCCAAATATGTCTGACTCTTGACTATTTTACCTTTCCCCTTTCCCACCCGCCAGTTCTTCCTCCTAGACCCACTTTTCCAGCCCCTTCCTTTGCCTCCAACAAACTCTAGGACATGACACTTCACTATCTAATTCAAAAATAAACACAAAATAAAACCTCTTTCTTCTCACCCACCAGTGCTCCAAGTTACTCTTGTTCCTGCCCAAGGAAAGACTATAATTTTATTCAAATGGTGAATAAAGTGTAAAGAAGCAACAAAATAAAACAACAAAAACTTTTTAATGCCCAACTGCCTATTCTCTCAAAGGGAGTGCTGAGTGGTAAATACTGCTGGTTTTCTTCACTTATCATATGAGGAAAGAGACGTAGAGAGAAACCTGGGGACATATCTGTAAAAGCCTAGAAGCTCTTAGGTATTCATTTACACTGTTGTGCAATCTCCAAGAAGCAACTGTGCCTTCCAGAAAAATAGCATACTGACCAGATATCCCCAAGTCACTGTGTTTGCCCCATCACTAATGGCAAAGAAGATACCAGGATCTTTCCTAAAAACCAAACCACAGAACCTACTTTCCACTCTTTCCCAAACTTGAGTATGCCATAGGTATTTTGGTTGTGTATGATAAGCAAAGATTTCCTTCTATTGTTCTAATAGAAGGAAAATTACATTTTTAATGCACCTCACCATAAGAGAAAATGTGCATCAATTTACTATCCAAGACAACCTAACTCTAAAATTTGAGGTGTTTTTGCTTTTGTTTTACTGAATTATCAAAACACTAAGGATTTTGAGCCATTCCTAACTCTGATATGAAAACATTTTCAGCTTTCTCTTTTCCTCAGACTTGCTAGTAGTCTTTGTGTGAAATTTCACCAAGCACAATCCCCCCCAAAAAATTCCATTCCACCCTAATAGAAGCTGTTCACAGCAGACATGTTGACAAAGAGAAAAGGTGCAGCCAGTCGGCCAATATGGGGGAAACTCTCCTGTTGTTATTTCTGTGATGACTAAAGCAAAGTCTTGGAAATAAAAAGGAAACTTCAAGTCTCAGAATCAGACAGAACTATAGTACACTCTACCATTGCTCACCATTACATCAAACACACCATCTGATATTTTCATTTCAAGGCAAGCACCATAGAGATAACAAAGAGCTCTATGTGATTATTAGAAAATTGGGACATAAGCAGTTTTATACAACAGGGGACATATACATACAACTTTACATACTAACCTAAGCAGTCTAAACCAGGAAGACACACACTTAATCGCAAAGTAATTAAGAATGTATTCAACAGCTACCTTCCCCCCCACCCCAGGTTTTATAATACACTGTTGTTTTCTCAACTACATAGTTTTGGCAACAGATTTAAGTAACAAAAGAACCAATTTAGAGTTTTCCTCTGCACCCACAGTGCCATCTAGTGTATAAAAGCTGAGAACTGATCCACTCCATCACCCCTGACTTTTGTAACACCACATACATCAATTTTTGGAAACCGTGGCTCAAGACCCAACTTTAAACCTTATTTTTCTGGGTAACACGTATACATTCACAAAGCTGTGAACTTCTGCCTGAATGACGAGTTGGATGTCTCTGGTTTTGCAACATCCCAACCTCTTGCATGGTTCAGGTATTTAAAAATATTTGTTGAATAAATGTAAAGTATACATTTTTATACAAAGCATCCCCAAATGTCTTCTGTAACTGGTACTTTACTAGATCCTGAGACACTGCCTGTCTTTCAAATGTTCTGACTTCTCTGTTCCCAAATGACTTGCAAAAATACATAAGACTGAATGCCTATCCATGACTGATTGTATTCCAATAAACTGCAGAAAGATGAGGTATAAAAAGGAGTCTTAATGTTCCTTCATAGTGATTTTTTATTCACCTTCTCAGTTGGAAGCATTTCTGAGAAAAGTCTTCAATTACCTCAAAGTTTACCTTATGTTCTTATAACCCAGAGATGGATCCAGGCTCTGGGAGACTTACAGCTTATTTGATTTGGAAGAAGCTCTTTAAGATAAAGAATATCGAGGCTGGGGCTATGGATCAGCGGTGGCGCATTTGCCTGGCATGTGTGAGGCACTGGGTTCAATGCTCAGCACTATGTATAAATAAATAAAATAAAGGTCTATCAACAACTAAAAAAATTTTTTTTTAAATGAAAAATGTCAGCCGCAAACAGTGGCATGAGCCAGCAGTCCCAGCCACTCTAAAGACTGAGGCAGGAGGATTCAAAGTTCAAGGCCAGCCTGAGCAACTTAGACACTGTCTCAAAATAAAAAATAACAAGGGCTAGAGATGTAGCTCAGTGGTAGAGCATTTTCCTAGCATGGGTGAGGCTCTGGATTTCATCCTCTAGTACTGCAGGAAAAAAATAAAAATTAAAAATGACAAATTATTGAGACAAAATTAGGCCAGGTCTTTGGGTTGGGACCCCCGTAAAGGAAGAACCTTGAAGATTTAGCTTCATTAGCTTCAAGGTAAATTCATCTCTCTTTTACTCAAGACCTAGGTCAAATTATTTCAGTGAAACATTTACTTGGGGGTCAAATGATTAGTGAATCACACAATGTTAGAGCTATAAAATCCTTAGAAACCCTCTAATCCTCAACCATCTTCTCTTCATAGGGAAGGTAAAAGAAGCAAAATTGTTAGGGTCCATCAAGGTCATCTGGTGAAATCACAAGCCAATTCTATCCCTGTTGCTGCAAGTTGGGATGGCAAATTTGCTCAAGTGATCATTAAACATTTCATTTTAGATGTTCTGCTGCTTCTAGTGCCAAAATCTCAGAGAGAGCAAGAAATGACTTACAAAATTAAAGACGCTTTAGGACTTTCGGTCAGCCTTAATCTGAGTATAGCCTACTAAGTGTTCAAAGGCAATAGGGATTAATGATCTTGTTACTAGTTGGGTGATATCAGCCACTAAGAATCAATGACAAGAAAATGCTCTTATAGAAAAAGAAATAATAACCTAAGGCAGAAACTTCTAGGTAAGAATGATTTACTTTCAAATCCCTGTTCCTTTAGTGGAAGAAATACCTGCTGAAGCCACTGGAGCTTTTTTCCAACCTTCAGACTATAAGACTGACATATTTCCACCAGCTTGTCTGTGTTCAACCACTTCAAACATTGAGGGAGTGACCTGCTATAACGCAGCAGGCAAGCCAAGACCAAAGGGATGACCACACTGCCTAATGGAGGAGTCACACTGGACAGTGATGGGCAAGAAATCAATGAAATCTCCTTCTCCTTAGAATCCTTAAAGTATGTAAGAATCTCATCTTTTCAAGAGTCAAATGTCTGTTGTTCTTCATTGAAATTATTTAATGCTTATGCCAACTGTTATGGCATTTGACTGCATTTATTAATCCTTAAAAATATTTTTACCAACATGTCACAGCCGCTAATGAAGAAAAATAAAGATCATTGATTCAATTTTTTAAATGTCAGAAAGAACTATATCTAAATAACATTAAGTATATTAATTTAACTTTATCCCCCAAAATCAGGAAAAGCAAATGTAAAGATGATCAGAGAATACTGATCTATTCCCCTTACACTCAATCATAGATATAATTTCTAGTCATTAGTTACACTGAGTACACTGTTGTAACTCAAGAAATGTTGTATAATAATAATGTCTGTTAAGCGGGATATTTTAACATATGTTATGAGAAATATAAAAAAATCAGTGTGACTATGAAATGCATCATAATTTTGTGTTTGCATAATTTTGTGTTTAAATACAAAATGCTCATGTTCGCTTTAAAGAAACAAACTACTTTTTTTAACATAATAGAGTAAGTCTATAGTGAACAAAAGCTGTAGACACAAAGAAATTAAGCACTAAGACTCAACTGAACCAGACTACGGACATTTGAAGCTGATACATTTACCCAGGATAAGTCGATTTGGAGCATACAAGGGATTTACGGGGCCTCTGAAAATTCCTGTAGAAGCTGCTAAGACACAAATGATATACCAAGTCTCTCCGGCATGATATTCATTTTCCCAGATGCAAATTTTATATTCTCAAAGTCAAGCTGACAAATATCAACCAAATGCTATGCTCTAAGTTTAAGGAATTATATGATGTTTTAGAATCTTTACCACATCCTTTATATTAGGGTAATCTTTCAATCTTTCACCATGACCTTTATATAAAGGTAATCTTCAGATGTAAGTTATAGATTTCAGTGGCCCATCATCAAATTTTCAACTTGCATTGAAGACTTATTGATTCTAAACAGGTATCTACATTTATCAAAGGCCAAATTCTTTTCCCCAATGACTAAGGGTCACTAGCAGCTTCTACACTTGCACATTCCTGTCTTATCCAGTTGTTTTGACACCAAAACAACTATGCTCAACAATTTCCACTAAAGAGGACCAATTTTAGAAAATAAGAGACCCCTAATTTGGTCCCTGTAGGACCCACACATTTGACTAACGTGGCATGCTGATGCAGCGGAACAAGCTCCCTTAATGAACCTAAGAGTAAAACTGAAAATCTTTTTTAATCTAACCCCATTATATATTTTGTGTTCCTTCTCTTTCACTATAAAAATTCCCAGGAGGCCAGGAATGCTACACAATAGGGACACCAAGACACATAAGGTGGGCTTTTGTCTCTCTATAGACAAAGCACCCAGTTTGGATTTTTTTTTTTTGGAGGGGGGGTACTGGGGATTGATCTCAGGGGCACTTGAAAACTGAGCCATATCCCCAGCCCTATTTTGTGTTTTATTTAAGGACAGGGTCTCACAGAGTTACTTAGCACCTTGCTTTTGCTGAGGCTGGCTTTGAATTTGAGATCCTCCTGTCTTAGCCTCCCGAGCCACTGGGATTACAGGCGTGAGCCACCACACCGGGCAGCACCTGATCTTTTAAGAAGCTGTGATTCCTTCTGGCTTCCATCTCACCCTTCAGGAAAGTGTGTTTATATGAATGTTCCAAGCTTCAGAGGGAAGCATGGTCACCCTTTCAAATCTGTGGCTTTTGCATGCTTGAACTAAACCAGCACAGATTGAAAATACTCAGGGAAAACTGTGTCTGTATTGAACATGTTCAGATATTTTTTTTTTCTTATCACTGTTCCCGAAACAATATAGTACAACTACTACTTACATGGCATTTATGTTATATTAGGTATCATCAGTAATCTAAAGATGATTTCAAGTAGCCCAGCATGGTGACATGTACCTGTAGTCCCAGCTCTTTAGAAGGCTGAGGCAGGAGAATTGCAAGTTCAAAATTAGCTAAAAATTTCACAACATCCAGTCTCAAAAATATTAACAAAATAAAATACATAGGAGGATATGTGTAGGTGCTATGCAAATACTATATGCCATTTCATATATAAGAAATTTGAGCATCTTGAGATATTGGTATGGGGGGAATTGGGACCAGTCCTCTGTGGATACTGAGGGATTACCTGTAGGACTAAGCATCCCTATCCCAGCTCTAAACCCCTACCTGGGAGGTCAGCAATTCTCATCAACTCCTAGCAGCATACTTGGAGTCTGGGTAGAGGGCCTAGGAAGGGGGCAGAGCTGGTCAGCATTCCTTCCTATTATTATTAAATTCCTAAAAGTAGGAGTTTCATAAATGAGGGCTTGGGTTTCAGATTTTACATCATATCCTCCACCTGTTTCTAGGACTCTCATAACACCATATATCATACTGTAGGTCCCAACTTCCCTTCTAGCCTAGAAACCCCTTCTCTATCTCCTAAGTCTATTGCACTGACCTGTATATAACAGGTGCTTAATAAATCACTACTTTTTATTCTGAACTGAACTAATATGATTGGAATGGAATTGATATCTATGAAGGGAGAAGCTAGAAACCTGGCTGAGCCTTATCAGGAAAAGTGAAACAAATTGGCACAAGAGAATTCCGTAGAGAATTCAAGGAAATGTTTCTATTGCAGTAAGCAAGAATTGAATAAAAAGCACTTATATTTCCATGTTATTTGACCAACTTAAACATTTACCCCATGTCGCAGTGAGGCAGACAGCCATAAGGGAAAAAAAATAGAAACCCCTGGGATCAGGCAGACAAGTTCAGATCTTGGTTCATTCTTTGCTTGCTATATGAGTGGACAAATGAGTCCCTTTAAGTCTCAATTTCTTTGCCTTTAAAAAATGGGGATAATGAGGGCTGGTTGTAGCTCAGTGATGGAGTGCTCGCCTTGCATGTGAAGGCACTGGCTTCAATCCTCAGCACGACATAAAAATAAAATAAAGGTCTTGTGTCCATCTACAACTAAAACTAATATTTTTTTAAAAAATGAGGATGATGAGCCTACCCATGAAGGATTGTTGTTAGGACTATGTAAGATAACAAATGCCCCAGAGATAGCAAATGCACAGTAAACAATAGCAATTATGAGCTTAACATCTGAAACTCAAAAGTAAAAGCATAGCTAGGAACAAAAAGTCAAAATTGGAAAATATTCTCTAGTTAGCATAAGTATCACTTACCAACTCCATATTTAGCCTTAAAATAAGACTTTGTAAATTCATCACAGTCGCAGAGGAGCACTTTCCTTCCCCACACATTGATGTAGGTTCCTATAGTCAGGTCACTATCTTTGTAATACTCTTGGTCTAGTTTTCCTAGCTAAGAAAAACAAAGGAACATAGCATTGGCACCATGGACCTTCTAAAGAACTAGGTACCCCTTCCCAAAGGGGGAAAAAACACTTCAATTATATTATTTATAACTAACGTTTAAAAATCAAGTCCAAAAGTAACCAATCAATGTTAACATTTGAAAGCATTATTTTAGCACTGTAGTACTTGCAAAGAGCAATGCAATACATGTATTTCTGTATGCATGCAGGCTCATTATTTATATGATAAATGCCAGTACAATGTATATATTTGTGTATTCATTGATTTCATTAATACTCTCACCAGGGATGAATATGTAACTCACCCCACTGTTCAGGTTCCAGGGAAGACACACTGAAAACAGTAATAAAACATGAGGATCCTTACCTTGTATTTATCTAACAGGTAGCCATCCACTCGCTTCTCTGCCAAGCCACCATACACTTTGAGAACTGCTCGGTCTGTTATCTGGCCTGGTTGATAGATCCCAGGTGGGCCGTGCTGGAATACAAAATCAAAGCAATGCGGATGGCTTCTGAACACAGAGACAGTGTACTCCAGGGACACATGTAGGAAATATGCGGTATATGGTCCTTCTCTACCATCCAGAGGAAGACACACAGTCCACCACGCCTCCCTACACTGCTATAGCCCTTATGCCATAGCCCCATTTTTTAACTGCCTCCCTACACTCCATACATTCTTTAAGGCCCTGATAAAGCCCTGTTTTGCCCTCAACCCTTCCCATTCTACAGGTAGCCATCTACACACTGAGAACTGTTCAATCCATTACTTGTCCTCAACCCAAACCTCACCAGCACCTACCACAGGGTTCTACCACTTTCTCTGGTTCTCTAATGTTTTAATCAGCAGCCATCTTTTCTCTTCATTAAATCACAACCCTCCCCAAGGAAGAACCCCTGCCTCCTTGGCTTCTTTATTCTGATTAGCACCCTGCCTCATCCTGAGCTCAGTGAATAGAGTACCTGCTGGCCCACAGAGTTAGCGTAGTGAAGTGGAAGGAGCAATAGACTTGGATCAGCCTCTAACAGAAAACCCGGCCTGTGGCAAGACAGGGAACTGCCCAGTCCTGCATTCTAGGCTCCAGGTGGTCCCAAGCAGTTGTGTGAGCTGCAGGAAACACCTTAATTAACTATGTGAATTGATCGTGATCAAAAGCATCACTTATGGACAAGAAATCTGAATCTTTCCTGATACATGTGACATAAAATGGAAGTCTAAATGTGTGAAATTTATGATGCATGTGGCACAAGTAGGTCACATAATGTAGAATAGTACACTTGGATGCAAACTCTCTTTTTACCACTTACTAGCTACAGGACTTGGGACAATGTATTTATCTTTTCAGAACTTGAATTCCTTCATCTTTTTCACTACAACATTACTTAACTGCTTCCCTTCTGAAAAGAAGCTGTGAGTTTCAAGGGAATATCCATGTGTTTTGTATCTCTCCCCCATAGGAACCGAAACTCCATGAAGCAGGACTTAATCCATTTTCTTTCTCACTGTAACCCCCAAGGTAGCACATAGTTGGTCCTCAATAAATATGTGTTGAAAGAATAAATGAAATGAAGTAACTGACCCAGCTATCCCTCTCCTCAGTCTATACCCAAAGAACTTAAAAACAGCACACTACAGGGACACTGCCACATCAATGTTTATAGCAGCGCAAGTCGCAATAGCTAAACTGTGGAACCAACCTACATGCCCCTCAGTAGATGAATGGATTAAGAAATGTGGCATATATACACAATGGAATATTACTCAGCAATAAAAGAGAATAAAATCATGGCATTTGCAGGTAAATGGATGGAGTTAGAGAAGATAATGCTAAGTAAAGTTAGCCAATCCCCCAAAAACAAATGCCGAATGTTTTCTCTGATATAAGGTGACTGACCCATAATGGGATAGGGAGAAGCAGCATGGGAGGAATAGATGAACTCTACATAGGGCAGAGGGGTGGGAGGGGAAGGGAGGGGGCAGGGGGTTAGCAATGATGGTGGAATGTGATGGTCATCATTATCCAAAGTACATGTATGAAGACATGAATTGGTGTGAACATACTTTATATACAACCAGAGATATGAAAAATTGTGCTGTATATGTGTAATAAGAATTGTAATGCATTCTGCTGCCATGTATTTAAAAAATAAAATCAATTTTAAAAATAAATAAATAAATAAAAGAAATGAAGTAACTGATGTCAAGGCATACTGCAAATGTCAGGTATATCATTATTATTTTATATTTAGCCTATCTGCAAAGTCATTCTAAAAATGGGCTTCCCTGGCTCCTCCTGGCCACCTACTGTGCATACCCCAGAGGCCCCCCTCAGGAATGAATTCTGCCTCCCGCTGCCTCCAAGCAACGCAGCAGGACTTTCTGGCAGTGGGCTCACAGAATCTGGGAGAACCTTCTGTGAGGACCAAATGGCCAGCGGTTGTGTGCATAGGAAATGAGTGTTACAGTAACCTTTTCAGGAACACTAAGAACTAAGTTAAAAATACCTTATCTAAATTAGAAATAAAATATAACATGGAGAAGTGTTAACACCTTAAGTCCTTAGAGAGTGTTGTTTACTATCTTTTCTTATTCAATCCTTACATTTACCTCAGGAGGGAACCACTGTTAACTGCATTTTAGAGATGGGAAAATAAGCTCAGAGAGGTTAAGTGACTTGCCCAAGGTCACATAGCTATTAAGAGGCAGATCCCTAATTCTAATACAAACCTGCCTTTGTGCTGCTCCTGCTGCACCCAAGTTACAATAGCTCTCAAATGACCAAAAGTATTTGTAGAAATCAGTCTGACAAAGCTTTTCTAAAAAAATAATCTTTTTAAAATTTTTTAGTTATAAATGGATACAATATCTTTATTTTGTTTATTTATTTTTATGTGGTGCTGAGGATCAAACTCAGTGCCTCACATGTGTGAGGCAAGCACTCTGCCTGAGCCACAACTCCAGCACTGACAATGCTTTTTAATAGTAAATAAAATGCAAAAGCTGTTACTGACACTAACTAGTGGCTAGTTGGTAACTAGTCACTACACTTGGAAGAATCACTCACTTCTGTGCATATACTTGTGTACGTGTGTGTGTGCACGTGTACACACAAACATGGGTACATTTGTATGAGTATTCACAACCCAGACCAACACCATGGGCTCACCTCAGGAGAGCTTCAGGGGCCACACACACAATGCCCCATCCAAGGCCATGAGCAAATCTTTTACTAGGGAGTCCTTTACTTTCATTTGACTGATTGTGAACTCAATGGCAAATATGTGCTTTCTCTTAGATTTTACTTTTTCCCTTTACTTACCTTAAATCCAGAATGTTTCAATTCTAATTGGTCAGATTCTGTAGATTACTTTCATAGATGTATATTAACAGAGGACACAAGATGAAAAATTTCTAAATTGCACTATTATAAAAGGGTAACTGTCAATACACAGGCATAACACACAACATTCCCAATAGTGACTCAGATCTCTTGACCCACAAGCAAACTTAGAAAATGGTTGTGTATCTACTGCTGACCTTGGGTAGCTTACTCCTCCGGAGGAACCATGACATAGCATCTCGGCCTGAGTTGTGTGGTATCACTTCTTTGATTTCCACAGTATCGTCAGACAAGAAGTAATGCAGGACGAGTTCTCTCCGGTCCCCAAACAACGAGTCTGAGTCATCCCATAGGCAGAAGAATCGCAAAACCTTCCCATCATATTGGAGGAACTGTTTCAGAGTGTCAAAGGACTCATAAGGACGAAAGGGATCTACACAGTCTAGTTTCTGCAAATGGAGAAAATGTCAGATATAGTTGCAGGTTTTGCATGGTCACTTCTGGGATGGAAGTAATAAATTGACATAAAGATACATTTTCTATTGACTATTCTATGATATTTTTAAAGATTTCAACTGGCTCTGACTTACATATGTATGCATCAATAACCAGTTTTACCCTTAAGTATACTGACAAGCATCAGGAAGTTTTTCCTATTTTATTAAACATTATTTTAATACACCAAATTATCCTTCTGGTGTATTTTAATACACCAAATTATCATTCTCAAAAGCTTTCGTTTGAGAATGGACAAAATTAATCTATGGTGACAGAAATCAAAATAGAATTACTTCTAGATAGGGGATTTGATCAGAAAGGGGGACAAAGGAACTTTGTGGAGTGATAGAAATACTCTACATCTTTTTTTTTTTTTCATTGCAGTGCTGGAGACTGAACACATGACTCACATATGCTAGACAAATGTTCTACCACTCTACTACATCTCCGGTCCCAGTCCAATGGATTACCCAATTGTATGCATTTTCCAGCACTCATTGACCTGTATGCTTTAATACTATGAATTTGATCCTATGCTAATTATAACTCAACTAAATAAAATCATGTGTCTTTTCACTGGAACTTCATATCTGTGAATGCTTCTGACTCATTCAGATTTTTATGAAGGTAAAAAAGAAGAAATATATTCATGATTTTATTTTGGAAATGGAAGAGGAGCAAATGGAGAACTTCTGTTCCACACAGAAGCCCATGTCACCTAACCTCAGCCCCAGAAACAGAGAGCTCTGCAGTATTCTTTGGTATAGCTCTCCCCTTCATTTGCATGTTCTCAGCCCCATCTTGGAGAAAAACTGCCTCCATTCTAACTGATGAAGCTAAATAGGATTGTTATATAAGGAAGTACTCATTGGCAAGGGAAGTATTGTCCCAAATTGGGTTATGTAATCATTTTGGAAATTCTTGAAATGTTCTATCTGTCCAGGGCAGTCTAAATACAATCTTACCCCCCAAGACAGGGGGAGATACAATGGCTTTCCAGAGACTCTTCAGTCTTATCCTTGATATTTAAACAAAATTAGGGAACCACGACTTTCATAGATTAAAAAAAATATTGCGGGGGGACTAGATGATCTCTTAGAAATGCAGTATTGATTATATACCATTGGGATCCTTTTCAGTTCAAATTAAATTGTCTAATTTTACATTTCAAGGCAGCAACACTAAAGAACTAAATGCATAAAAGTCAATATAAAAGGTTATATTGACTAATTGTCCAAGGTTTCTATATTCACTGAAGAGTTTTCTCCCTGAGGGAATAAATGCTAAAATGATCCTCCTAATCAGAAAGAAAATTATTTAAAACCATTTCTTGGCTGTTCTTGGTATTTATTCTCAATTCTTGGCACAATACTTCTTTTTTCTTTATAACCTTATAAAATCCTACAGTGCTTTTTGCAGTTTCATATAAGAGATCACCATTCACAATTGCTATCATATAATACCAACTGATAGTGAATGAGTTGAGCCATTTGCAAGGGGTGGTAATTCAAATGAGTCCATTTCCTTCAGGATCTCTCTGGTGCTTCTAATGACTTTATATTTATCTAGACTCTTTTGTCTAGGACATTTGGAAAAAATAAAAATGAACCTAAACCAAAAAAAAATCTCTTTATACGCTGATACACCTTCATTTTATCTTAGATATTGCAGAATCAGTTTTATATAAATTTTATTTATACATATATATGTATACGTATGTATAATTCTCAGGAGGTTTGAATGCCTATAACATTAAAGGATAATTTGGCTGGTACTAGGAGACAGGTATAGATGAATAATCCTACATGCAGCTTTTAACAAGAAATCATAGGAGAATTTGATTTTAAATTTTGTTATCTTTCTATAAGGAAATGAATTATAAGTTTTAAAACAATAAAAATCAGATGAAAGGAATCTATAGGAATAAAAATGAGACTAGTGGTTGTCCCTGGGTAGGGAGAGGAACTAATTAGAAAAATGTGTAAGAGAACTTTCTGGAGGGAAGGAAATATTCAACATCTCAATTTGGGTGTAAGTTGTATGGGTATATGCATTTGTTAAGATTCATCCATTAGTATATTTAATGTCTGTATTTCACTGTGTATAATCATATGTCAATAAAAAAGAAAAGGGAAACAAATGACAATAACAAAAATCAAGGTAAGACTTAAGAGATTTGCATTCAGACCCAGCAAGAAGACTAGCTTGGTATGTGACTTCCAATGACACTTCCCCTTTTGGGTATTTAGATGCTTTTAGAAAACATAAAATTTGGGTCAAAGAATCATTTAAAATCTCCAGAAAGATAACAATAATACTGAATCTTCACTCCCTATAGTAACTGGAATCAGACTTTGAAGAAAAGCATCTTTTCATAATAGGGAGACAATAGAATCATGGCACTCTTCACTATTTCAGGACATTTCAGCATTCAATGTCACCATAAGAAGAGACGGGAATTCTAAGGAGGAAGAAAAAGGTAGACCCACAAGGATTGGTATAGTAAGTAAGTAGCAGAGAAGCAAAGATTTTTCCAGCCAGTGTTAAGTAACTAAACCCAGGAGAGACAAGCCATGGAACTGTGGGCCCAACTTAAATGCTATAAGTGATCACAAAGGGAATCGTGGGCTCCTAGAAACTGTTCCACCTAAGCAGCTCACAGAATGCTCCTGCCTGGAAAAGAAACTCCACAGAAAAAACTGGGATGTGTGGTTAGTTAAGCAATCATTCCTGTTCTGAGGCCAACTCTTAGCCTTCCCTTCAACCCAAAGGAGAACAGGACAACTCGAGTAATGATGGCCCCAAAAGCTCTTTCACAGTTGCATCAGGAACACCCTTTACTAACCCTCCAAGACAAGAACTCACAGACGCATCAATTTCTTACCTCTCTCCGCACCTTCATATAAGGATCTTCTGGACAATGTCCAGGGGGGTTTAATTTCACTCCTATTTTCTTCAAAAAGTTTTTTGTGAATGCATCACATTCATAAATCTTGAATGTCCGGCCATAGAAGACAACATCTGTGTTGATATTGAAATGATATACAGTATAAAACTGATCATCATCAGGGGGTGGGAGAGAAATCCGATGACGGCGGATAAAAGTCCCTGTGGCATGAAGTAAAAGACAACTGTTGTATCATGCAGCAGCTAACAAGAAGTTACAGTACATCTTAGTAAAAATTCTATATGCCTTCCAACAACAGGGCAAAGGACTTGTCCTAGGAGGCATTTAGTACATTCAAACTCTAAGGGAGTCAGAGGGAGCTGAGACCTCAGAGGTCCAAAGTTCTTTTTTTTATTTTTTAAGTTGTAGATGGACACAATATCTTTATTTTATTTATTTATTTTTTTATGTGGTGCTGAGGATCGAACCCAGTGCTTCATGCATACGAGGCAAGTGCTCAGTCACTGAGTCACAACCCCAGTGCAGGTCCAGAGTTCTTTGACCAGCCTGGCACATGAGTAGAGGGATCTGAGTGGTATTAGAGAAGATATTTTAATAAACCATAAATACTGGGGTGGGGTAGGGTATGAAAAAAGAAGACTATAAGAAGAGTGACCAAAAATGCCACATTGCCATCATGTCTTCATAGAACAAACAGGTTCAATTTCAGCCACTAACACTCAATGTACACAACTAACCAAGGCATTAAGGCCCCAAAGCAGAGTGCTCATAAAAATACATATTCCTGGCTCAAAAAAAAGTCAATAAGCTGCAGTATGTTAGGTGCCAACATGGTGATTTACAGCTTCGATAAGTATGAATGACTTTAGGCTAATGTGAAGCTTCATGATTTCTTTTCCCTCTATCAATTTAATCTTTCTTCTTCCTCTACAGCCTCTGTCCACCTCCATCCAACCACTGCCATCAGGTGGAGGTCACAGGAGGCTTCATAGTTTTATCCAGCACTCTGGGTTAAATCTTGTTTTTGTTTAACCAGGGACTGAACTCAGGGGCACTCAACCACTGAGCCACATCCCCAGCCCTACTTTGTATTTTATTTAGAGACAGGGTCTCACTGAGTTGCTTAGAAAGGTTTTTAATCTCATCCCATCATCCCCTTCTTTCGGATGCCCACTTGCTTCTGAGTAGAGAAAAAGGGCAGTTTATTACTTAGTAGCAGTAACAGTAGCAATAGAACATCTGCATTTTTTGCACCAGCTTCCTAAGCCCCAATTCCCACTGGAGGACACAATATGAACCAGACAACAGCTGTACACCCAGTAGGTTACAGGACAGGAGAGGATGCTAGAGCTTAGGGAACCCGAATCTGCTACAGTGAGCGATAAACAGCCTTATTAAACTGAACAGGCAGTAAGCCCATTTGCCCTTTGTTCTGGAGGGTGACACTACCTCTATCTTCTGAGGCTGAATGCAAACTAGCAAAATCTTCACTCTGCTCTAGAGGGAGAGACTGTCTTTATCTTCCAAAGCTGTTTGTATATATAAATGCCCCTGAAGAGAGTCCAGAACAAGGAGCAGTCAGTGCCTCAGTGAGAGGTACAAAAATGCAAGATACCCATGGAGAATTGTCTCTTAACATGTATAACTGACTTGGGCCTAAGAACCATCTCCAAGAGCGAGCAGAGCAACCTGAGGATCTCATGGTTCAATAATAGTTGGCTTGTGTAACCTCTGTATGGAGGTATTTTAATATAAAGATGTCAACCTATCTTCTTTGTATTTTATGTGGTACTGAGAATGGTGCCTTTTCCAAAATCTAGAAATACTTAGAAATTATTCGTTCCTTATTCATTAAGGAACATTTAATTAATATCTTTATGTGCCAGGAACTGTGCTGGGCTCTGTTCCATTACTCCACTTATCATCTTTTCACTCTGTTGAGGGGAAATTAACTAAAATCATTTTCATCTTCTTTTCTTTGTAGCAATTTTTAATTACTTGGTACATTAAATTAAGATAATAAAACTATAAAATTAGAACTGGCCTAGAATATTTTTAAATATACTACATAAAAGATGATATAATTTTACTGCAAAAATTATTCTTCAATTAGCCTTTAATTCATGCCACTGAAAACAGTATGCAAATTATTTAATCATTCAAGATTAGACATTTAGAACAAATTGCATACTTAAACATCTATAAAAGGATGGGCATTTCAGGTATTTTCAGGATCCATTATATACCTTTTTAAAAATACTTACATTGTGACAGTTTTTAAACTATATAAGATTAACTCAATAGTGAGGAGCTTCTTCAAAAATTCCATCTATCTTGCATTTGTAGTTCATTATAAAAATTCAAATAAGCAAGTCAGTGCTGGTTTTTGTTCTGTAAGACTCTGAAGAGGAATCCTATATTTTTCTAGATATGAAGAACTGGCCCACCCACTGGGCTTTTAAATAATAATAATCACAATCATCATCATAGCCCTAGGATAGAATTTCAGTTACATTTTCTCATTTAATCTTCAATAATCCCATGAGACACTTAATACATGAAATATGAATATTCAGTTTATGAATGAGAAAACCAAAGCTCAGAGCACTTTGAGTGCTTAAGTTGCCAAGGCCAAGGTCATGTACTAACAAATGGCAGAAAAAGATCTTGAATTTGAGATTTCAGACATGAACTAAAAACCATTACTTTCCATAATTTTCACTGAAATGTATATCACTGTACTGTAGCCATAAATTACTTAAGGGAAGGAAAGGAACCATAGGCAAAACAGAATAAAAATGGGCAGAAGAGCTAGCCACCATGAAAAGGAGAGAGACTGATTATGGAGCTCTTTCAAAAGAACAGCCTATCTCTGTTCTAAGGGCAAATTTCCAGAGAGGGCCACTTGTCCAACAGCAATCCCCACTGTAAGGACAGCACCACAGCCTTACCTGTCCTTCCTAGGAGGCTGCATATCTCAGGCTCCCATACTCCTCTTACCAGATGTTTCTTAGGAGAGGCCAGGGAAGTTCTTTGTAATAAAAGAATCCTGACCATTCATGGGTTGGAGAGGAAAGGCAGAGCTAACACTACACAAGAAATTTTTTGTTAACCAGGATTCCAACATCACAATCGCATGTTAATCAGAAAACTGATGTGGGCCATTTGAAATGTATAGTTGCACATGAGAGCTTTCAATAATATATTCCTGGGATCTCTCAACTGTGTCCTTTGAGGATTAAAAATTCTATTTATTGTAATTTGTGTGTTTTTAGTCTTCCATGATAAATGGCAGGAGTTTGTTCTGGAATGTCAAAGAAATGGGCAGGATGCCATGTCTTTGGCACACAACAAAAAGCAGCTGGATCATCAAGGTAGATAAGCCAAAATAATGTTACAAAATGGAAAAAACAACTAAAGCACCATGTCTGCCCTTTAAGTTTTCCGATGATGTTTATCTTCTTAAGTGCCCCTAATGACAACTGGGACACATGTCCAGGCATCAAGTACCCCCTTTCCAGCTTGTCCTCATCTTCGTATTTTACATCTATCTTCCTTTTTAAAAGCCCTGTTATTTGACTATATTCTGCAAGCTTTAACTTTCTAACATTCCCCTATGATTTAGATCAAAGTGGCCATATAACCATTTCTGTTTAGTGTGTTTTCATGTCATTCAATAGGGACCTGCCTTAGATTTGGCTCATAGCACTAAATTTAGTTTTTAGGAACTCACCTTCCAGAAGTAAGTTTCCAACCTCTTACATCTATCTTAATTGTAAGTATGTTTATTTCATTTTTGTATCACTGCAGACCTTGGGTACATCCAAGACTAGAGGGAGGCATTTCTTAGATGAATAAATATACAACTCGAATGTTCTCTTATCACCATGTCTACTAAATTTGTATCAAAAAAAAAACAAAAAACTAAGAGCCTTAATAGTGATCAACACGATAGGGTACCTTACCTCCCTTTGCCCTCACTATATTACTCCACTAAAATCACTATTCCAGTTTTTCTATTATTTTTCAAAAATGTTATCTTTAGAGTTTTGTTTTCACAAGAATAACTTTTTAAATATAGATAATCAAGCCCCTGCCTTTAAGCAAATGAATAAACATTTTAGAATTCCATATCTCTGATCATAATGAAAACTAATAACCCTATGCATTTCCCCCTTAGCCACTGAATAAGCACCAAAATGATAGCTGGGCAGTTGCTCTAGTGTCCTCTTGCATTACCACCTTCTTGCCTAGTTTTCTTAATACAGGCTCTATAATCTGCTCCCAAATATCTCCCAACTCCTTACCCCACCCCTTACCACATTTTTATCTTGTGTTCTACCTTTTTCTTGCATCTTTATCTGGGGAAACTGTGTGTGTGTGTGTGTGTGTGTGTGTGTGTGTGTGTTCCTGGGGATTGAACCCAGGTACATTCTACCACTAAGCTACATCCCCAGCCCATTTTTTATTTTTGAGAAAGGGCCTTGAACTTGTGATCCACCTCCCTCAGCCTCCCAAATTGCTATTATTATAGACATGTACCACCATGCTTGACTCTGGAGAAACATTTGAGCTACCACTCCAATGCCATCTTCTCTAGTGGATATTGGTTTATCCTCCTCTGTTCCCTCAAGTACCTGGTACCATTTATGATGCCTGCATTGTTTTATAGCCTTCTCCCTTCCCCCCTTCTTCCTTTCCTTCCTTCCACAAATATCCATTGAGCAGCCACCATGTACCAAATACCTATCTTCTCAGACTAGCAACTCAACTCCACTCTTAAATTCTACATAATTCCATTCCATTACTGCTCCAATGTTCACCCTCCACATTGCCAGATTTAGTTGACTGAAATACAGGATACTCAAGTTAAATTTGAAATCCAGAAAAATAATGAATACATTTTTAGTATAAGTATATCCCATGAAATATTTGAGACATAGTTACACTAAAAGATTCTTCATTGCTTCTCTGAAATTAAAATATAACTGGGCATCTTGTATTTTATCTGGCAGTCCTACTGCTACCCCCTTCTGCTTTATGAGATATAGCACTTATATATGGTGTATACCTAATATGAATGAATGGTATACAAAGGGCTGATTTCTATTTTGTGATTACATTTGCTTCATTCAAGTAGATTATCTCAGAGGATTAAAAAAAAGAAATACTACATAATTGAGGAGCCCAAACAAATCAT